TTTTTTTTGAATTTTTAATCGATACCTTTAATTTTTTTTTCCTTCTTTTTCCTTTTACTTATCGTAATAATTTACTACCAAAAAAAAATATTAATATTTTTCTTTTGTTTTCGTTTGTTTGTTTGTTTGTTGTTGTTCTTAGGTTAACACATTTTATACAGTTTTTTGTAAATAAAAAAACATCATCCCTTCTCCACTTTTTCTCCTTCTCTTTCTCTCGATTAAGACATAAAGTTATTTATACGTTTACATTAACAATAAAAGAAGGCATTTATTATTATTATTATTATTATTATTATTTTTGGGTTATTCAGGTGCATGCACATACGACGAATTAAAAGATCCATGGCGAATTTATATTTTCACACGGTAATAAATAAAATTGAATATACTACTACGAGCCTTCTGTGTGTTGACGTAACAATTTCGTTACACAAAAAGAAAAAAGAAAGAAATCTTTTCATTATAAATATAAACTTGTTCTTTCCTTCTTTTTACACATTTTTTTCGACATTCTTCAGGTTCGTGTATCATCATTAATATTGTCCTCACCTGAACATTTCGTTTATCAAATACAAAAAAAAAAAAAAAAACGAAAAAAAACTCGATAATGCGACATTGTGAATGGAAATAACGTCAAAACGTAAACGAACTAAAAGAACTCCAGGGATTTATTATTATTATTATTATAGTTTACTATTGGGGCAGTGAGTAATATAGGCACACAGTCACTCATTCAAGTTCAATATTAAGGTATCTTTTGTATGTTTTTCTTTCTCCCCTTTTAGACTTAATACCTTAGGATACCTTATTCATGTTACCATGGTGAAAAAGTCATTTATCAATTTACAAAAAAAAAAAAATTCTACGTTATTATTATTATTTTTTTTCAACCATTCTCTCTCTCTCTCTCTCTCAAACACTTTATATAAAAATTTTCGATTGTATTTTTTTTTTATTTAATTAACCTTCGACATTGTTTTTTTTTTAACAGGTTCACCTGAGATCGCATTTTATAATGAACGGAGTCTGCGTTCGGTGGAGAGGTTGGATCGATTTAGAACGGTTAGACGGCGTTGGGTGTTTGGAATACGACGAGGACAAAGCGCAGGTTTGTTTTTTTTTTTTTTTAACTTTTTGTGAATAAATTTAATTTCAAAAAAGAAATTTTTTAAAGAAAAAAAGAACCTACCTTCTAATCACCTTAAAACCTTTTTTTTTTTGCAAAGAAAAAAAAATTAAAAAAAGTAACGTACGCGTATAAGGAAGACCATAAAAAGGTTTCTAATATATTTAATAACAGTTGACTAATCCTTAATAGATTAATTTATATATATATATATATTGTCGTGGCCCGATTCGACTATCGATTCACAACGTTGATCTTCCTCCGCGTTCGTGGTATTATTCAAGATTGAAATCGAACACACTTTTAACGAAAGAAGAATTATATTGATTGTAAGCAACAGAAGAACATTTTACAACATGTTACATGTACAGAACAACTTAGTCACTAAAATAATGTTATGAACACTACTAGTTGTAAACACAATCACAAAACTAGTCCTAGACACAAGTTGAACTCTAAGATATCAGGAGAAACCGATGAACTAAGAGTCGAACACCAAGAACGAAGTCTAAAGAAACAAGAACCAAGTGCTGAGAAACAAGAACCATGGCTGAGACGTTCAGCCTCCTTTTATAAGTTCTGACTATCGCTAGACATTATTCATTCACTAGCACTTAAGATTAGATAAGAAAAGCGAAGCTTCCAGAAATGCTGACTATGTGTCTATGATATGAATAGAGTCACTATCTCCAGACATGCTGACTTTGCGTCTACCATGTGAATGGAATCACTATCTCCAGACATGCTGACTTTGCGTCTACTATGTGAATGGAGTCACTATTCTTATTCATTTATCAAAAAGTATATCACATTTGATGTGGGTTCATAACACCTCCCCCCTTAAGAAGGAAAACAATTTTTTTTTTTTTGAAAAAGAAAAATTTGTTTTCTCCTTTTGTTGAAATTGGAAATTTTCCTTTGCTGACTTTTGCAGAATTTGTCTAAGATGAGAAGTTCTCGGGTAGATGCTATGACTGGATACCTTGTTCTGTTTTGTAGTAACATGATTCTAAATTGAAGTTGTAAGTAGTGGAAATATTTTCCAGATAATACTCAATTGTGAACACAAAAGGATTAGGTTATGACTGGATAAAGTTAAAAAGGAAAAATAAGTTTTTTCATCTACTTAGAACACAGTTGTGTTGTTAACAGGATCAGCAACTAACTTATTACGAATTTTTAATTGGATATTGCTACCAGTTACTTTCTTGATTTCATAGGGTCCTTTAAATTTGGGAATATTGTAGTAAATTTGTTTAGACTTAATTTTATTTTTATTTAGATTTTCTCTTGGAACTTTTTCCGGATCTGGATCGCTGTTTTTCAATTGACCTTTTTCGTCTTCTTCGTTAGGCAATAACTGAACTTTACTCGGTAAAAATAGCTTTACTTCAGGAATAGTCTTTTCGTGAAAACTAGTTGATATAAAAACAGTTGCTTTCTTCCTGGTTTTCTTGGTACTGGAATTCCATTTCCGCTTTTTAGTATGCTTCCCAAAATTATGCTTGTGAATTTTTTTAGTAGCTCCTATATTTTTATTTGAAATTTTTGTTTTCTTTTGAATTTTAGCCTTAGGATTATTTTTAAGGTTTGAATTCTGTATGGATGATCTTTCTTTTCCTTTTGTTTTCACTTCTTTTACTTTTAGACCTTTTTTCTTATTTTTATTTTTAGGAAGTAATGGTGCTTCTTTAGCTTTTTTCTTAGATAAATTTGTAGAGGGTGCTTCTTTAGCCTTTTTCTTAGATAAATTTGTAGAGGGTGCTTCTTTAGCCTTTTTCTTAGATAAATTTGTAGAGGGTGCTTCTTTAGCCTTTTTCTTAGATAAATTTGTAGAGGGTGCTTCTTTAGCCTTTCTCTTAGATAAATTTGTAGAGGGTGCTTCTTTAGCCTTTTTCTTAGATAAATTTGTAGAGGGTGCTTTTTCCTCTTGAGCAGGAATTGATCCTGGTAAAGGATCTGTTTTCTCTTCAACTTCAAGTTTGGATTCTGGTAAAGGATCTGTTTTCTCTTTAACTTCAAGTTTGGATTCTGGTAAAGGATCTGTTTTCTTTACCTTTGGAACTTCAAGTTTTTGATTTTGTAACTTCTAAAATTTTAAGTTTTTCCCTCAATTTTATTGTGTTATCCTCATAGTGGATACATGCTGATTCTTGTTTCCAATTTGTCACCCTTCTATCAGTTGACTATGGGGTTTCTT